ACTATGTTTTCAAATCTAAAACATTGAGAAAAGATCATGTAATTGGAAATTGCGTGTCTTTGTCAAAGTGATTTTTCCAATAATTGAGATACATTTCATCTCATTTGATATTTATATATTTTTAGAGTACACTAATTGTATGAAATATTAACAAATTATCATCATTTTTCCTTTTGAAAAAAGTTTAGTTACCTTTTTTTTTTTTCAAAATTTGTGAATGCCACAATGCGGGAAAAAAAAGAGGTGCAGCGAGCGTGCTTACCTCACTTGTATGTCATATTTGCCGTAATTAATAGTAAGAAAAGAGGTACATATGAATATTTCTTTCATAAATTTAATGTAATTTATATTCGGCTTATCATTTTGAGATTTTTACTTGTAACGAAATATTTTATGTACAAAATTTTATTACTTTTAATGAACATTGTTAATATGGCTGTTTTTTTAATTATTTATACTAAAAAGGTAAAATTATACTTGTCTGTCATATAATAATTATGATAAGCTATGCTAATATAAAATCAATTAATGTTGTCATAAATTTACTTGGTTTTCTATTGTGGACGTTAATTGTATATGAAATATAGAATAATGATTTTAATTTTTTATATAAAAAAATATAGTACTCAAAATTGATGTGAGTCAACGTGTACAAACAGTGCAACTAACGTGTTTTGCCTCTCGTGCATCATCCCTATTAATTAATATAAAAAAATGCATGGAAGGATAAAAACGACATGGATATGCGGGATGAACAATTTAGGGTATGTTTGGATTGTTTTTTAGTGTGTGTTTTTCAGGTGTTTTTTTTATTGAGAATGTAAAAAGATGCATTAAAAATATAAAAATATATGTTGGGATAAATAGATAATAATAATAAAATATGAAAAAACCATAAAAAAAAAAACAAACAAACAGAGCCTTACTTTTGTCTTAGAAGAGGGATGGTCACACATAAAAGTGAAAGTGATATAAGAAGAGTTTTACTTTCTTGTAAATTAGAAAGACCAACCCCTTTGTGGTGATTTGAACAACATTAAAACTCATAAAATGAAGATGACATTAATTTATGGTAAAAATACCCTATTTTATATAATTGTGGTTTGTTACCCCTTTATGTTGGTGAGAGCGTAAGGGAGCAATGCTAGATAAAATTATGGTGATAAAATTTATATCACATTAAAGTAAAAGCAGGAAAAAAAATTGTAGTGATGAAATTCGTTATCTGACAACAAGAAATATTTCTTCAAAAATTGTAATTCCAAATAGTGAATAAATTGAAAAAATTAATTACAACATAATCAGACGGTTACATTAAGCCCTTATACTTGTGGCATCTCTCCAAATTTCAACCTAGCCTATGTGATATATTTTCACCGTGGTGATGTGCATGATTTGGTTGGCCTCAAATTGTTAGAATCATTTGTATATCCAAAAAAGATCTCAATTTGTCTCTAAATTAATGTCCAATATAAAAGCAAAATTTAGTGTAAACATTATTTGATAAGGAGAGAGCAAACGAATTTTTACACTTAAGAGAATAATATACTTTTTAAATACTTTTGAAATTTGATAGAAACAAATGCCTCCCTACTCTATTTGAAATATTCTTTATTGTGTGGTTTTTGTATTCTTTAATTATTTCCAATAAAACAAGATTCGTAAACATTTTTAACACAAATCAATCTTTGATTTTAAATTATTAGCAAAATTTAGTGGATATCGGTGTGACTTTTAAAGCAATTTTGTATGAAATATGTGATGATGTGGATCTCAGGCTCTCAACTACAGCTACTATAATTAACTGCCGCAATTTCAAACTTTATGAGGTAAATTCATTATGTTTTTCATCGGTTACGGATAAACTACATCAATTGCCTTTTCTTGAATATTCTTCAAAACCAACCCCTCTTGATTTGGTCATTAGATAATTGATACTACATTTGTCTCAAAAAGAAAAGTCCACATTGAGTTTTAAAAACAGTACAAATCTCAAAACCTACTCGAAATTTAAAACTTTTGAAACATTGTAATAATCACATATATGTTTGACAAACAATGTATAAAGTAGACAAGTTGTTGTGAAAACAAGTAAAACTTTCGTTTTGATGACAAATTTTAGAACAAAAAATTATTGTTCACAAATGAAATTGATTCTTTTAGACTAAACTTTGATCATTTAAGTGATATGTAAAATAGATGTGAAGGTTTTTTTTTTGGCATTTTTGAAATACGAAAAGTTTTTTAAGTATAACCTACGTGTTCGAAGCAGAGGGCTATACAGTAAAATTACTATAAATAAATAGTGTCGGAACTATCAAAATTTATTGATTTGGAGAATTATTAAATAATTAATAAATTTTTTATTTTTTGGTAAAAAAGGTAAAATTTTAGTTACATAATCAACAAAGTGAATGTTCTGTACAGCTTTCCTCCAATTCCAAACTACATACATACTCCACTATTGCATCCTACTAAACAGCAATAATTAATAAATTAATAAATTATTTATTTTAAAAAGTTTTCTTTGTTAAAAAAAAACTTACTAAATATTCTAATTTTCATATATCTTTACTATCGGAATCGAACAAGTACTGAAATTTTTCTCGATACTAAAATCCATACAAAGGTAAGTATTAATCAATAGTTCATATTTTACTAAACATTTATTGTTCCTGTTTTTTTTTCCTTTTGACTTTTTGGTAAATATTAATTTATAATATTATCATGAGCAATAAATATATACGATTTCTAAAACTATTATTATCTTGCACCTGAACAAACCGCCGATTACTGGTGAAATGGAGGAGGACCAGGTGTCAGGAGAATATCTGGAAACACAGCTGATAAGGAGGCCGGTCCCACCGGATTTAACAAAAACTTTCCATTTCAAGGCGCCTCTCAAAATCAGGTCAATTCCATCAGAGATAAAGGACATTTCGACGATACGTCATCTTGAATTGTCCGAATCTCGGATGGAAGAGGACCAACAGACAGTAACGGAGCTAATCCTAAAACAATCGCTACTGTTAGATCACTTATTGATAGGTTGAAATTATGCTTAATTGTCTTAATTGAACCTAAAATTAGTGGTGTTAACTATCCACATTTAAGTGAGTTTTACTGGGATGATTTTTTTTGAATGATATATTTGTGTGTTGCTTGAGTGGTGAAAGATATATTTTAAAAAGAGGAAAAATCTTGAGGGAAAATACAGATTTTAATCATAACTCGGGCGCGGGAGGGGGGGGGGGGGTGGTTTGAAATTCCAATTTGTCCAAACATATAATACAGATGGAAAAAAATTGGTCGATCTACCCAAATCTTTACATGCGTTGTCAATTCTATTTTATTTTTTTTCGATTAGCCAATATTACCCTAATCTATCAAACTGTTAGTCAATTTTGTCCAATTTGCCAATTTTTGTTTAAATTAACGGAATTATGTTAGTTTTAATTATAAAATTTACCCTAATAGTTTTAAAAATTATAAAAATGACCCAAAAAATTGCAAAAATAACAAGTCTCTTTTCAGTTTTTATTTAGTTTTTTTTGTTTTCTTTATTTTTTTTACTCTTTTTCATAACTATAAAAATATACTATATGATCTTTTAAAAAAAATATTTATTTTTAAACAGTACTGTACGAATTTATAGATATACATATTTGCAACTCATGGTTAATTTACAAAAACATATTAATTTTTCAATAATATGGTTTAACAGTAATGATACTATTTTTTTAATCCATTGTTTTCAATCTAAAGAATAAGATTATTTAACTAAAACTAATTTTGCACAAAAAATAAAACATTTAGGATAGATTAAAAAAGAATTTATTGCTATACTTTAATGTATTACAATTTAATTCAACAGACTTTATATTGTATTATAAAATTAAAAAAATAATTAAAACTAATATATAAATTTTCTTTAAAAGGCCAAGCACGAACACAAAGAAAAAAAAACCTATTTCGTTTCTACATTGATCCAACACAAGAATATAGTGTCGTGACATTTACAAAAATGGTAAAAAATATTTTATAAAAAAATATGTACATTTATCATTGCGAGAGTTATACATTTTGTGATAATTTTTTGAGATATTGATATATCTAATTTTAGTAGGAAGTCTTTTTTTTTAAAAATAAAATGATAATAAAATAAAAAAGAAAATCTACTCCAGTACTGGACTCCACTTTTTTTAAAAAAACAAAATTACATTGCCCTAGTGAGACCTCGAACACAGTAATATTCATCTCATATCTTAAATCACCTGACCATCCAACTTAACCCTCTCATCTTTAGTAGTCCTCGCTTAAATATTGATAAAATCACTCTCCCACTTAGAAATCTTTTGGTGAGAATTAATCTTAAATCTACTCTCATGAAACTGAATACCCTAAACACTAGTCTGTACCATATATTTTAGTTTAATTATTTGTTTAATTGGATAATACAATCTATAGTTTGTTTAATTAATTTGTAATAAATTAAAATATACTAATATATTATTTTTTAACCTATGCTAAATGTTTTTATGTTTTGTAAAAAATTAATTTTAGTAAAAAATATCTTATTCTTTAAATTGAAAAAAAATGTATTAAAAAAATAATATCATTATTGTCTTGTCTAGCCATATTATTAAAAAATTAATATATTTATGTAAATCGACCATGAGTTACAAATATGTATATCTATAAATTTGTACAATACTGTTTAAAGATAAATTATAAAGATCATGTAGTATATTTTTATTGTTATGAAAGCTAGTAAAAAGAAATAGAAAACTGAAAAAATTAAATAAAAACTGAAAGAGACTGTTTTGTTATTTTTTAAAATTTTTGGAGTCATTTTTGTACTTTTTAAAATTATATTAAGGGTATGTTTTATAATTAAAAATAACATAATTCCGTTAATTTAAACGAAAATTGGCAAATTGGACAAAATCGGCTAAGGGTTTGATATATTATGATAATATTGGCTAATCGAAAAAAAATTGAGAGAATTGACAACGCATGTAAAATTTTGGGTAGATCGGCCAACTTTTCCACAGATACGGAGTAGATTAAAAATTAAAACGAAGCAAATCACCCGACAAATTGCATACGAATTCCTTTTCGCTCTCCCAGAAGCAGCAGCAAAAGCCTGCAACTCCTCCATTGAAGGCGAATCGAAGAAAATGCCGAAGAGGACAACTCATACCTACTCCAGTGAAGACGCCGCAACCGACGGCCCGGACACTGACCTCTTCGTCTATTATTGCAAGCACTGTAGCTCCCATGTCCTCATCACAGGTTCTCTTCTGTTGCCTCCTCCACTCGTGTGTGTGTGTGTGTTTTCCCCTTGTCTCGTTTAATTTCCGTTGATTTTAAGAAAGTAAAATGTTACGACTGTTCCCACTTTTCAGTTGGTGATGATTTTTACCTGTCTACCATATGGACGAAATTGAATCTTGCAAGTGTTGTTGTTGATAGAAGAATTGTTTATCGGCAATCTAGTCAATTTTGCTTTCAAAAGTGGGGTTTTTTTTTCAATATATTTTTTTTAAAAAACTAATTGGTAATGAGGAATATAGTTTTAGAGCTCATACTTGTAATTTCATTGGGAGAGAAGTAAGTTGGAGGAATAGTAGTTTTCCTGATTGTATCTGCCTTAATCATGGGGCTTTTTGATTTGGATGAAAGGTTGGCTCCGTTCAATTGGTTATTGCTTCTTGTTGATGGCCGAGGTTTGCAAATTGGAGAAAAAAGGACGTGTGCTGGATGTAGTTTTAGTGGATTAACACAGTTATATACTGTTTGCCTTTAGGTCTTGGAAAAGGGTTGGAGTTATGAAACCACACTCTGGCTCTTAGTTTTCTGAAAAGTGAACCTTACACGCATTGATCGCTGAAATTGGTGTGACGATTTTTTTACTTTCACTTTGTTTCTGCCTTTGTCAAAATATCTCTTTTAGAAGAATAAGAAAATCAGTTCCTTTCTGTGGTTTGATATGTTTGATGTATAGAAAACAAGTATCAGTTTTTGTACGTTCCGCATGTATATGAAACCTAGGAGATTTTGCTGGGTAGGTCTCTCAGTTTTCATCTTCTTTTCTTGGATGATTATCTCAAAATATGATCTTCTTTTATCCTTTATAATGCGACATTTGAATATCACACTCCTCTGTAATTACAATGAGTTGGATGTTGCATTTATCATTTCTTTTCGAGTTATTGATATGACATGTTATTCCATTCTCCTCTTTCCTTGAGGGAAACTTCATTCTGATTTTTGTCTATATTGTTTCTTGCTTGTTTAAGAAATGTTATTAATCTGCAACCTAAATAATGTTTATAGATACTCAATTGCAGAAGATGCCAAAACGGAAGACTGACAAAGCATATGTATTGGACAAGAAAAAACACCTTGCAAGACTAAACATACAGGAGGCTGGCAAAGTTCTCTTAAAACGGTAATACATTTATACATTCAGTCATTTCTATTTAAATTACTTATTGGGTGACAACTAGGAAGGGTGATCAAAATGCATGTAGCATCTATGTAAGACTTGCGATTGTCGGTAATACAGTTTCAACCATGCCCTGAATGAAGAAATTACAGTTAAGTTTGAAGGTAGGAAGTTTAGAAGTCTGCAGCCAGGATTATTGCTTTTGTACATTTTATGCCTACCAGATGAAGAAGAGAATTTTTTTTTTCCGGTTGGTATCCTTAACTAGAAATGTGTAATAGATACATATTGTATGTTGTATGTTTTTAGCTTTGCCATAAACCAAAATGTTGTTTTACAATAATTCTTTTCCTTATTTTGTTTGCTGAACTATAATTGGTGTTGCACGGATTTCAAATATGTTCACTGCATTATGGATTTTTTATTTGACTACAGCGTTGGGTAGAAGTATATGACTAAGGATCCTTCGGTTAAACCAAAGTCTAACCTGTATCTGGAATCTTAACCCACTGCTTCACTCTGTTTAATAGAAGTAAAATTTTAAGAAAATTATGCTACTGATCTATTTAAAATACTAAAATAATTTTTTAGGCAAATAATTACTGGGACGACTATAACCATTGTGTTCATTTTCAACAATCAAATGCACATCATTTATAAAGAACATTATTCAGTCACTTAATCTATTAAGTTTTTTGACATTCAACTATCAAATAGATTCATTTCTTAAGTATTTCAGCACTTTATGTGGGTTCAAGTGATGGCTCCTGATTTTAGGTTTCTGAGTTTCACAGCAACGATTGCAACAGTGATCTCTCTAAATCTTGATTAGTTTCATCATAAAGACAGTTAGCCTCTCAATTCTAGCAAGTCCGTATTTTTACTTGGAAAATAAATAGCAGCCTGAAGCATAGAGGCCCCTGCATGGGTAAGATCTGGCAGAAGATAGGACCATTACGTTGTAATGTCTTGTATTTTTTCTTTGTTGATGCAGTTATTTAGCACAGAAGATAGGGCCATTAACTATTTTTTCTTTGTATTTTTAATTTTTGCTTTGTTTCTGTATGCATTTTGTCATGGCTCGTTTAAGTGCTTATATAGTTGATTATGATATGTCCTCCAAGTTTCTTTACGTTATGCCTTATGTAGTATTGCATGCTACTACCTATCTTTATCATTGTCCATTGATTTTCAGTGGAGAGGGGAAGTTAGAAAAGCAGTTTCGGATGAATTGTGTTACTTGCGGGCTCTTTGTTTGCTACCGAGCTGAAGAAGATCTTTATTCTGCCTCTGTCATTTATGTTGTAGATGGCGCCCTCAGTTCAATTGCTGCTGAGACAAATCCACAGGTACTTAATGCAGAAGAAGTTTACTGCTAGTCATTTTGGTGGATTTTATTGCCTGGACCCTCAGTGCGTTTGAGTCATTGAGCTAGGATAATGTATATCTGCATGTCTCAGTAGTTGAACCTTTTGTCTTTTCTTGTTTTTCCTCTGCTTGCACTTAGGATGCTCCAGTGCCACCATGCATATCACAGTTAGAAGGAGGCCTTGTTCAGGTTGCCATTGAAGTAGAAGACCGTGCACAGCGCTCAGCAATAACAAGTACAGTTGTTTATTTGGTTGAATGCTGTTAATGTGTTTAACATATCATTCTACTTGCATATCTTTTGGCTCCATGAAAATCTCCTGATGGAGAGGTTTTTGATTGCGTGAAAGATTGAATTCTATGTCCTCATAGGCCTTTCATGAATTGCATTACTTTAAAACATTAGTGCATTTATGGTGCATCTTTTATTGTGTGAATGCAGAAGTTTCCTCTATAGTATGGGCTTCCATCATAAATATACATACAATTGATTTAATCTACAAGATCTTTGCAATTTGCAACAGCTGTTACAAGCCCACTTCAGATGGCCAGGAAACCTTAATATTTCCCAAGTCATCCAGTCTACTAGGACTCTAGAAGGCTGGCAAGAGCCCTTTCTGAAGAGTGGCTTTGCACGAAAGTGGATAAAACATCAAGATGCTTAAAGTAGAATCACAGGTAGATAGATAAAATTGTTATTAGATGCAGCTCAATAGCTGCTGGATTTAGTCAAAAGCTTAGAGACATAGAAATAGCTTTTTCCTAGAGCCCTTTCTGTTCTTGGGATGTCTTGCAATTTGCAACAGCTGTTACAAGCCCACTTCAGATGGCCAGGAAACCTTAATATTTCCCAAGTCATCCAGTCTACTAGGACTCTAGAAGGCTGGCAAGAGCCCTTTCTGAAGAGTGGCTTCGCACGAAAGTGGATAAAACATCAAGATGCTTAAAGTAGAACCACAGTGTAGATAGATAAAATTGTTATGGTTTGGCTCCCAGCTCCAGTTTAGATGCAGCTCAGTAGCTGCTGGATTTAGTCAAAAGCTTAGAGACATAGAAATAGCTTTTTCCTAGAGCCCTTTCTGGTTCTTGGGATGTCTTGAGGATTAAAAATATTTCTCGAACTACTAAATATCTTTTTCCTTGTGCACAACATCGAATAGAGTGATTAAGAAATTGCAGCCCATGTGTTTCCATCTTTTTCCTTGTGCACAGCATAAAATAGAGTATTCAAGAAATGCCAGGTCATGTGCTTTCTATAATATTTAGAATTTTTTAACATGCACGAAGTTTTTTGAAGAGGAGTTGCTCACAGGTTTTTATGTGGCGGGATTCGTCTTGTCATAATAGGTAATGGTTGATCATGAAGATGTCTCATAGTGAAATTGGAATCAATAGACACTAGTTACATGGAAGACTTCTAGTTTGACTCCTGGGGTTAACGAATCCTTTCCTAAAATAATTATAAAGAAAAGAATCACTAGTTTCAGGTAGTTTATTTGCACGATTTGTATAAAAATACAACAAATTACCACATATGACCCAGCTGGCTGGTTTTGAAGTGCATGATGCTTTTACTTTTATTTTAGTTTTGCTCTGATTGGGGGAAGTTTCAATCACATTGGTTTGCTCTTCTTTTGCTCATTGCAACTTGGTAACCCCAATTTTGTAGGAGTTAATGCTGATGATGTTCGTGTAACCGTAGCTGCACCCGCTGCCCGAGGAGAAGCAAACAATGAGCTTCTAGAACATATGGGAAAAGTACGTCACTTTTTTGTTGAAGATTTTTGAAAATCGCCCCGTTTCCCATACTGGTTTGCTAAATTTGATCTATTCCTTAGGTGTTGGGATTAAAATTGAGCCAAATGACTCTTCAGAGGGGTTGGAATAGCAAGTCAAAACTTCTTGTGGTAAGCTGAAGCGTGTTGTGTTACATGATCTTTTGTAGCCGTAGCCATAAGTAATTTGTTGCTTTTCTTTTTTAAGTGATGAAATCCAAGGAAAAATAACTTTTTGGCTTGTTGTATTGGTGAATGTCCCCTCTATGTACCCTGTACAATCTCGTCCAGTAATCTAGAAATTTCTAGTTTTAGATAAAAGCTTACTCAAAAGCAAGCACCGCAGACCACCTTGTAAGCAAAAATAATGGTTACAAGTTGCTACTGCAGAATGCATCACACGATGCAATGTACAATTTCATACACACATGCATGCCAACTGAGAGTGTTCTACTTATGCATAGATTTAGTATTGTTATGTAATTTGGCTTCGCACAAGCTGAAAAGGGTCTTTGCTGATGTTTCTGTACCTGAATTTATTGACCAGGTGGAAGACATGACTGCTAGGCAAGTATATGAGAAACTCTTGGAAGCTGCACAACCGTGAAAATGGTGGTGCCTCTCTTTCTCATTTTGTGTCGCAATTGTTACATTATGTATCTCACTAACTCATTTTCCACAATAAGTGGGGGTGTTCAGTGGTTGTTTCTCCCTACTTGGTTTTGTCTAAGCCTTGTTGGGGCTATTACTGTACATCAGCTTGTGTTTTGCCATGGTAGATGAGAACACGGGATCAATCCTTTCATGAACTTTTGTACCACAATGGGGACGTTTAACGTGATATGGTTTTTGATTCTATCATAGACATGTCGTAGTAGATTATTGTGGCCTATTTCAGTATTTCTAAGCTCTAAATTTGAACCGCGTAGTTTTATCAGAAAGCAATTATAATATAGAGTATCTAGATACGCCTTGCCTAGGGGTTGTAAAACACGCCCCCTACAAAAAGGGGTTAAAAAAAATTTTAAATTTTTAATTCTTGATATTTCTCTTAATTTTTAGTCATTATTAATTATATTCAATTTTCTATCCATTCCATCCAAAAACGTCAAACTAAAAAAATATAAAAATTCAAATTTCATCTCTGTAGCAATTTGGCATTAGAACCTCTTATCGGCTATATTTTTGAAGACGGAATCCGGTTGTGCATCAAATTTCTTGAGTTTGTTTGCAATATACGTTGTTGAATATGAGAATTAAGGTAATATATGATTTTATTTATCGGTTTTGCTTGTTTCTTTAATGTATGAAGTTCTAATAATGATATTGTTTCTGAAATATTCATGAGGATGGCTACGATTGTGTACTCTGATTTGAATAAGAATAACTCGATAACTGAAGAGAGAAGGAGGTAATACTACTATTTTCTTAAACAATTGGTGTGTTTTTTGGGTTGGATTATGTAGATATAAGGTATGTCCATTCGATTATAAATGTTTGTTCATTTATTTTTTAGTTTTGTTCATCGATTTGTTGTTAATTTTAGAAGAGATTAATAAATTTGGGAATTATTCATCATTTCGATATCGTTATTCAGCGTTGATAATGAGATATTCGTCGTCGATAATAGATCTGAGTATTATTCACCAGTCTGATTTATTCATCAAATTGTTATCGTTGAACATCAGTTTGTTGTTGTATTTTGTTTGGGAATATTCATCCGTAATGAGTGGTCATTCATAGAAAATTTGGAATAAGAAATCGTCGAAAATTCTGATCTTTCTGATGTTGAGTCTCAGATAATAACGATTATTCATCATTATGATTAAATATAATTTACGTTTTATGGATATAAAGTACGATATGCTAATTTATTCATCCTATTATAAGTGATATCCCTTGCGAATATGTTATTCATCATGTTATATGCGCACTGTTGATATTTTAATTTGGATTAGGTGTATGCAGATAGATTTTTCATCGTCTATTAAGACGTTATTCATTAAATATCCTGTTCATTGTAGGCATTTGGTCTGCATTAGGTGTATACAAATATGATGGTTATTCATCCTCTATTATGTCGTTATTCATTTAAAGAGTGATCTTATATAATCATGTGAATGTATATCATTCATCACGTGAATTTTAATAGTTCATCATTTGAATATGTGTTATTTATTCCATAGATAAATGTATTTATCATGCAAAGATATGTCATTCATCACCAGTAATGTTGTTATTCATCAGTTAATATGTACTTGTACAATATTGTTATTAACTAGATTCGATTTATATCATTTTTAATACTTATTCAATCATTTTCAAAATAATTATTCATCTTCAATATTATTGTTATTAACGACATTGTTATAAATATCATGTTCATTGTAGGCATTTGGTCTGGATTAGGTATATACAAATATGAGGTTATTCATCCTATACTATGTCGTTATTTATTTAAAGAGTGATATGATATAATCATGTGAATGTATATCATTTATCATGTGAATTTTAATAGTTTATCCTTTGAATATATATTGTTCATTCCATATATATGTGTATTCATTATGCAAAGATATGTCATTCATCGCCAGTAATGTTGTTATTCATTAGTTAATATGTACATGTACACTATTATTATTAACTAGATTCGATTTATGAAATTTTAATACTTATTCATCATTTTCTAAATGATTATTCATCTTCAATAGGATTGTTATTGATGACTATCAGAATTTTGATTGAATGTGAAATCTCACTTATTATAATGTTTTTTTTTTGTTTGATTAGCAGCAAAGAAATACTTATTAAGATGAAGTCGATTGGTCGGGAATCAAATATTTTGCCAGAGTTGCTGAAATCAAACAATCAACATAAATGTGTATCGAACATCGGCAAATCCTTCAAGACCTTATATATTAAAAACAATGATTAGTTTTTTTGTTCATTTTTTTTTCTAGTATAATACATAATTAGAATTTTCTTAGTTTAGTTGCTAATATTAACCCATTGTAATATATACTTTTGTTATCAAAGTTATTCATCCACTAACGTATATTATTCATTCATTAAAGTATAATTATTCATCTTGTAAAACTACAACTATTCTTCATCGTTATATTGTTATTCATTTACGATTAGATCATTATTCATTAGATTCATTGTTATTCATCTTTGTGAATATCGTTATTCATAGCAAAATTTAAATTTATTCGTCTATAACGTTGTCACTATAAGAACATCATTATTCATCGATAAGTATACCATTACTCATCCAAACAAATATCGTTATCCATCAAAATTTTTCAAATTTGATGTTTAATTCTCCGGATTTCATTGTTAATCATTTGAAAATTTTTACTCCAGTTGATTGTCCAAATTCATAAGTCTAGATAATGAATCATATTAAATTTTACCAAAATAAAATCATCGTTGAAAAAAACTCATAAAACAAAATAATATAAAAATAACAGGGTAAGCAAAAAAAGAAGTTTAAAATTAAACGTGTGCTAAAAAAGGATAAAATTAGGAGATTAAATGCCAAAAAAGGGGGATAAAATTGGAGAAATTAAATGTCAAAAAAATAAAATAAAATGACCACTTTATTTTGCCAAATTTGTGATACACGCATCGACTAAATATATCTTGTAATATATACCTAAGTACTTGATATTATTTGCCATAAGAAAGCACATCTCGATGAAATTTGAGTTGCGATACTGTAAATAAACTGTTGGATCTGGAAAAAATATGGTACAAAGACACATCACCTGGAAGAGTTGAAAATCTATTATTTGGTATGTGACCCGTTGTGGTCATGATGTCGGAATGACAAGAACTGTGACCAGTTTCGTCCCATCTATAGTTAAAATTTTTTTTGTCCTAAAGTTCAGAATAATGTTTTAGCAATACCCTCTGTTAAACTATACTAATATTATTATACACGATAAATTGGACTATAAATTTCCGAATTAAAATCAAAATGTACATGAATATTAATATCAAAAATATATTTTTTTTTCCACTATAAAGAAACTAGTACAAATATATATAGATCGTATGTCGACCATCTTACTCTCTGGATATCCATTGCCACAAATTCTGGTCAAGTGATTATACAGGTGGAATGCAAGGTCCATTGAAGAATAGTGGACCAAATTAGTCTGCTGTCCCTATGGTTGCTGGAAATACCTTATCTGTAAGACTGCAAGCTTTTAGCAATACTTATATAATTCTCCACATATTTGTCCATCATTCATTCCCTTCACTTCAAGTTGATACACTGGGACCAACCTCAAAGTTGTTTTCGTGATCATGGGGGGTTTTTCTCCGTCCTCGTGGGTGATCTTTTTTCAGGAATGTTTCTACTTTTTAGAGACTCTCTCCGTCCTAGATATTCTTGCACATTCATTGTAAATTTTATTTTTGATGGTGGTGAAAGGAAAACTAAAAATGAAATCGACTGCGTGCAATTTCACAATTATAAATTTATACTAAAAACAAAAATATAAACATAACACAATTATTTCAGATGGAGGGAGTAATATTTAATAAATGTAGTGTGATCTTGAAAATTTATGCATATACAATAATTCAACATAACTGTGTGGGTCTATGCTGGCATCTTTGTAGGGTTTATGGATCCAAACTTTTTTGGATCAAGTGGCTGATCTCATTGAATAAGGACAATGCAAATTGCCTTCGGAATTATTTGCACGAATCACACTTTTCATTGATCCAAGTCTTTAGGGTTTTTTTTAATCATTCTCTTCCCAGAAAAAAAAAAGTATAAATGAATTAAAGAAAGGCCATCTAATATGTTTGTTCTATCTCATAATAAAATACAACCGAAATTATCATTATGAGATGAAAGGAGATTCCAATATCATCTTTTACATATAAACCGCCATCATCGAGTTAATAAATCACAAATAGTTTTCACTTTTCAACACTTAGAACAGGAGATCCCAAGTACTCATCTGACGAGTAAAAAAATTGAATCAATTAGCTATTAGTCTAGAAGCAGGATCAGATCAATATTTATACATGTGCTAAAAAAGGTGGTCAAACCTCTGAAATGTTTCACTTACATATATATATATATATATATATATATATATATTAAAAGGTACTTGTATATTAGTTAAGAAGTACCTGAACTATTACATCGCATTCTATGGAACGCTAAATTATGTAATTTTACAACATCTTGTCTACTCACTTTAATCAGTGAGCAAGATTGAAATAAGGAAATATTAGTAACTAATAAAGAAACTACCTCATGTGCCTCAGAAGATATTAAAGCAGATCGTAAATCTCTAGTCAAAACTTCACAGTCCGTATAAACTTGAAGTCGAGTGATCTTTAAATGTAACGCTTCTTTCAAGGCCAAGAGACAAGTCATTGCCTCGATTTGAAAAGGAGAAAGCACACTTAAATCCACCGCTTTGATTTGCATCGTCATACCATGATCTGATAAAATCTTCCAAACACCAGCCGCTTTGCATGTTTGATGGTTAAATACTCCATAAAAAATGACTAAGGAATCAGCCGGACCCCTCTATGATAGCAATGATTGTGTGTTGGGAGAAGGTGTTTCACTTACATATATAGTAACTCGAAAATTTCTTATTATGTCTAGAAATGTTAAAACTACAGCAACTTGGCGCGTGTCAAAAAACAAACCACAAAATGATCGTTAAAATATAATATTCACTATATAAAAAATATGATAATATTTTTGTTGACCTGAAATGAAAGCCCGCCACAAGGTCAAATTTATTCTTGAGATGAGGGCTTTGAGATCAGCTACAGAACCACACATCATACCATTTCCAGATAATCTAAATAACATTAATACAGAGACATGTAATCTCTATCTCTCTCTCTCTTTTCTTTTTTTTTTTTCTTTTTGGAGATCATCAAGTACGAATAATCGACAAAAATTAAAAGGGTTAATCAATCACATGGTATTCTGTGAACCATTATCAACATGTGATTATAGCAATCTAAATTTCATTATTAAAAACTAAAGAAAGGACAAGAAAACAAAACCCTTTTTTAATGAATTGATAGTACAATTTTATTGAGAAGAAGAACATTATAGAGTACAATTTTATCTCATATACAAGATCTGGCCAACTGTCTTTCTCATGGATTCCCTCATCAATGGAAATGGCCAAGACGTGTTTGACCACCACTTTCACTTAACTATTTTTTTCCTGTCGGCTCTGTGATGAACCCTAACTTTGAGACCACCAGCCATGAAAGCAGTCAACAGAGGAACAAAAGCAGGCTCCTTAGAATCCACCAGCTCAATCTCAAATCTCTCAAGAATTGAAGCCACAACATATTTCATTTGTATAAAGGCCATTTCTTTCCCTAAGCAAACCCTTGGACCAGCTTGAAACACAGGGAATTCATAAGGACTAACCATTTTGATCATCCCTTTCTCATCAAACCATCTCTCAGGTTTAAATTCCAAGCAATCTTCTCCCCATACCTCTTCCAAAATCCTCCCCATCCCATATTGAAAATAAGTGACCCTATTTCCCTTGTAAACCATTGTTCCATCTGGCAAAATGTCATCTTTTTCCGCATGCTTTGAATCCCAAACTACCGGTGGATACAACCTCATTGACTCACACAAACACACCTTTGTATACCTCATTTTCTTCAAATCCTCATAATCCAATGAGGAATTCAGCTCACTGTTAATGTAGTTGAGCTCATCAATTTCAGCTAAAACATTCTTTTTCACTCCATCATTCTTAGAAATTAGCCAGAAAAACCAAGTCAATGCTGATGAAGTTGTATCCCTCCCTGCCATAAGAAAACTAATCACCATATCTCTCACCATTTCATCATCATGACCCGCTAATAACAACCTCGACAAGAGATCGCCTTCGCCTTTCCCGCCTTTATCATCAAGCTTCTTCTTCTCAGCGAGTTTGTTCTTCTTGGATTCAATGATCTCATTGACATAACAACGAACGATTTCAACGGATTCTTTGAGCTCTTTCTCGGAGCCCAAATTAAGGGCTCTCTTAATCTTCCAAACAATCGGAACCGGCGCAACACCTCGTTTCGCGCAAAATTCCGATGCGCGGTCAAAGGCTAATGCGAGAGGAGGCGTTTCATCGGAGAGAGATAGGTCTAAACAACAAGGATCAACTCCAAGTGAGACTTTACAAATGCTATCAAATGCAAACCTCCGCAAGACTTCTTGTAAGTCCAAAACTTTGCCATTTTTCGCGGCGATTCCAAGCAGAGGCAACAGCTTCTCCCCAACTTCCTCCTCGAGGGTTTCTACAACGAATTCTCTTAAAGATCTCGCGCTGAATTCATGGCTGGAAAACTTCCTTTGGACTTGCCAAAGCTCTCCGTCAACATTGAAGATCCCCCGGCCTAAAAAATCGCCTAACAAGGCGGTAAACGGTCGACCCTTTGGGTAGTTTTCAAAGTTGGATTTGAGGATGTACTCAACATTGTGTGGATTAGCCGTGATGATGGTTCTCGGGGCTCCGAACCGGTTAACCACCATGGTTTTAGAAGGGGATTTCTTGAGAAGATCAGTGTACCATTGCAATAAACGATGTCGATTTTTGTAGAAAGATAAGAGACAACCAATGATCGGGTAAGATGGAGGTCCATAAGTGTTTTTGGGTCGTTTTGTTTTTTCTGATTGGTGATGAAGATAAACCGAAGTTTGAGAAAATGGAAGAGGAACAAGAAGAAGAAGGAAAGAGGTGATGAACAAAAGAAAATAGTAAAATAACATTGTTGACTTTTTTTGGGGGGTTGTATAACTTGTAGGTAATATTTCTCTTTCTTACAGTTTGGGAAGATGGAGAATGAGGAAACTTTGCTTTGAACCGTCTAGTATATATACAGAGAGAAAAGGAAGTAAATTGAAGATGTCAAAGAGAGAACATAAGAAACTTAAAAAGCAACAATGGTTTCTTGATAAAGACACTCTTGCAACTGCATGCATGCAAATATAGTGCCGTTTGCCGTAATCATTTTACGCTTTTTAGCCACTCAAACAAATGTCTCAAACTCAAAAGATCACAAGTACTGTTGGCGGATATATATTGGCTGCACCGTCCAGGTTTTTAATTTGATGATGGAATGAATTACCGCTTGAAATCTGTCACTCTCTCAAAATCTCGATTGAGATTAAAATGATATTCCCAGTATATATAGTATTTGATTTATTACGTTATGTGGGCCGAAATACACGCAGTCTTCTATTTCTGTATTTAGCAATTAAGAAAAATGGAGATTTAAGTAAACCATTCTGATGTAGTCTATTATATATTAGTAGTACAAAAATGTCAATGATTGACTCTTTCAACTCCATTTGAAATAGGAGGGAAAAAAAATCTAGATTGAGACCAACTTGAAAAATGAAAACATGTATTTGGACAACAAATTAAACATGTCTCAATTTACATGATATATAGCGCAACATAGTATACAGAAATCAAGATGCCTGTTTGATCACTCATAAACCATGAATTTAACTACATTATCTTTTTTAACGAAAATTCATAGCTAACTAAATCAAACTTTTGGATTTCAAGAATCATATGTATGTTTACAGTGTTTAAAAGGGGTATACATAAAAAGAAATGAAAAATTGGTATTTAGTTGATGTGTCCCAATGAGAGTCACTGACTGAACAAGTCAGTGCGTTTTAATTAATTAAATTGGTAAATATTACCTCCGTCCTACAAAAATAATTCACATTGAGTTTTCAAATTTGTATTAAAAACTGTACAAAACTCAAAACTTAATGTGGACTATTTTTTTGGGACGAAGGGAGTGCTAAAAACTTAATTAATAAGTATGTTTCAGGATGATGTAGATCGATTTCGATGGGCTATCAATGAAGTCAAACTGTATTCGTGATTTTTCGTGTTGTTTATTTATTTATTTTCATTAATTATGATTCCAAAATTTTAATCGGTGAAGAAGTTGTCAGTTGTCAGACCAGATGTCATTCAATTTATTTATTTATTTTTATCGAACATGCTTATTTTCGCGTGTGGGTGTGACACCGGATCCGGTCGGTGTACGGTGTATTTTTTGAATTAGCATGTCGTAAAAGAATTACAATCATCATATTCATAAGTAATCTAATTTTCTGGCAAAGATTGATATGATCAGATTTTTCACGAATTCTTTTATGCGATTTGTGGTGACGGTAAAATTTCCAAATTAGTCTGCTGTTGTGACTGTACAGAACCGATCACACCTGGTGAATGCAATTTTTTTTATGCATTTTGATACAAAAGTAAAGAATTGTGTGCTAAATTATGTTGAATAATTACAGCTCCAAATTTAGAGGACCATTGTTTATAATTGATTTTAAACTGCATTTTAAATGTGGTGACCAAATTAGTGGGAGGTGTTAAGTGAAATGTTGATCGAGTTCTAGGTTTGAAACAATTTCATTTTGCTTAAAATAGTTTTTTTTTTTAAAATGAAAAAATATGAACTAAAGAGGATGATAAATCATGCTAGAATTTGATCTTTAGCCCTGATCAGTTAAACGAACTATGGAGTCTTAAAGTAAAGATACAAAACTAGAGTAATCCGCATTAAGAATGTCAAAGTCTTTATTACTTCACCCGTACGGTAAGTCCGTAGGAGCGTTAGAGCTTTGCCTTTAAGACATGGATTCAATCACATCCCAATCAATCTCTTCATTAGTAAAACATATACTTCTCCATAAATCACACAGTAAAACATGTGCTTAATTCATTAGGCTCTCTCCAGGTTCCCGAAAGAGATATCGAACAGCAGCAAAACATGCAACACAGATTAAAATATTTGTTTGGAGAATTTTTTTTTACTAAAATCCAAATTAATTGGAATAATAATGCCAAACATAAGGTGCGTAACATATAAAAAAATCTCTTTATTAGTAGAATATATACTTTTCTATAATGGGACCAATTTTATAAAACTAATTTTATAAAATTGGTTCATTTTCGCTAAATACTAGTATATTATTCTCATAAAGCTGAACAATAATACTGTCCTTACCCAAATCCTTAAAAGATGCTACAAATGCAACAACAGTTACATCTTTAGTTTCCAATCTCGTATATTATGAGTAAAAAAAGAAAAAAAAAGTATCATTATATTTCTCGGCTCATTCCATTTCAATATTAGAACTCTATTTATTGAACAAGTTCAATAAAAAAAATTATGACGAGGGACATAGTATTATTTACTGTATAAGATAAGATGTAAGCTGTATGTTTTTCAGCATAACTTGCAAACAAGAACCTTATTGTTTCTTCTAGTGCAAAGGTTGGGTCCTTACAAAAAACACACGTGAGGATTTACTTTCATTTTTTGAGCACGTTTTCCAATTTGAAGTGCTTTGTCTTCTTTTGTCAAATGATTTGGTTTCCGGAAAGACGCACACATTTTTATCTTACTAATAACGATAAAAGAAAAGAAAAAAAAAAAAAACCACAAGGGAGGACGGTTTTGCTATTTACGGCGGGGATCCAGACAGAAAATGTCAACAAAAGTGACACTCCAAGTCAAACCTCAAAAGGACCAAACATCAACTGAAATTGAGCTGTGTAGATTTGACATTTTCAGCACAAAATGTCGTGGTCCAAGATGAAGTGAAAAAAGAGAGTAGATGATTAATGTTTTGAGTTGTCTAGCGTCGGCAATCAATTATGATCACCTATCTACTGCTCTCTCTCGTTCCAAAATAGTCATGCTATATTTTACACATAGTTTAAAAAACTTTTAAATAGATTAACAAAATTATTTCAATATCCTTAACTAAGTCCATTAAAAAAAGGTCCACCAATAGTATTAATTCTTTTGAGGTAATTTTGGAAGTTTTGGACAAAAAGTGTATTAAAATGTGAAAACAACACTTATTTTGAAATTTCTCCATTTTACTAAAATGACACTTATTTTAGAATGGAGTGAGTACAAAATCCAGATCTCTCGTCCCCAACTTAGAGTCTTATGATTTTTTTTTGGGACCAAAAAATTATTATATATATATATATACATATAATGTGGTGAGGAAATGTGTGTTATTGGTTGTTTAATTTGTCAATTAAACGTCCATTTCCCTTGAAATTCGAGAAATAATTTCTTTTTATTTCATTATTACGTCTCGCATTCATAACCTCGAATTAGCTTTAACAATGTTTTTTTTTTTTTTTTTTTGGAAGAAGCGCTTTAACCATTTAGGAGTGCCTTCCCACCCCTACGAGTCTGTCTATTGGGGGAAAAAAATTACTCTTCTTCTTGTCAAACCATATATGGTTATTGTTATTATCACACACACACACACACACATATATATATATATATATTCATGGTTAAAAGATGTTTGTGAATATATAAAGCCAAAAACATCGAGAATGAAGCTGCTAAGCTAAACAAACCAAGGAAGAGGAAGTTGGCATGATTTGCTCCGAATTGTTTTCCAAATTAACTAAAAGAGGAAAAATTGGATTGTTGCACACATTAAGATACATCCCTCCGTCTATGATAATATGATCTCACTTTGTTAAAATAGAACAATTCAATAGTGTAGGCCAGTTATTTGGGACGATCATTTATATCATTTGTTTATGGATGAATATGTAGAAAATTAATTAGTATATCATCTTTATTTATCAATTAAAAAACATCATTTTGTGATAAAAGATGTGACGGAATGATCATTTCGTCTAAAAGATAAAGTAAAGATGGTTATTATTCTTTTTGCGGTAAAAGAGAAAAATATTCTTAAAGAAAAATATCTAATTGTCGCCAATTTGTACCCGAATGAATGAAAAGAAAAAGAGAAGAAGAAGAAATAGTCAATTCCGTTGATATCCCGGGTAGAGATAGACGTCGGCGCCGTTTTAAACGTCTATGGACTTTTAGATATGTGGACAAATTAGGGACTTCCGGATATTCATGAATTATATGGTCATCACTCATCACGACTTCAGTCTCGTGTTTTCGTTTATAAATTCTGTCGTGCCGCAAATATTAATATCCACTTCTTCAGTGTCTGATTAGGTACATTCCGTCCAAATTAAAGTGAGTGGACTTTTTTTTTTCAAAGCATATATATTTAGGGAGACAAATTTTACGACAAATTTAATGATTAAACTGCTCACTTGAGTTGGATGGTTGAGCTACATGTTATTGTCAAAACTAATATTACGCCTTGCCACTTGCCAGCTAAAAAAATAAAAAGAACTAACGTGATCGTATTATGTAAATATCTTCTCTATAGTCAATATAGATTTATTAGTGTTGTTTCGTCCCAAAATACAGATTTAGTTTGTTGTGTTATTTTACCTTAATAAACGTGACACTTATAAACAGAGGAATAACTAGAATATGCTTTTACTATCGATCACTTCCTAGTTCTGGTTTCTCAATTAAATGATTTGTCAAACCTAAATTTATTTTTTTTATTTTTAAGAATTTCGTTTACCAACAAAATTTTTTTTTTTTTCTGAAAGTGAATAAAATCGTGACTTTAATTTGAGTTTGTTAAGAGTACAAATAATAGAAATACTATGCTATAGTTGTGCTAATAACTGAGTTAAGCTACCCGACAACACGGTTTTAGCACGATTTTTCCAGAGTTAATTATAAGTTGGAGGAATGTCTGACTTTAGGCAGGGAGTCAATTTTTGACGCCACCATTTTATCTCATTTCGAGATTTTCAATGTCTTTTTTTACTCTCTTTATTCGTGTTAGATAATATTGAAACATAATGAAGTCGGTGTTTGTATTCATACACTATTTTAATCTCTACATCTTGGACGTTACTCTCTTTTAATTGCAGCAAGAGTAAAGCAATTCGTGTTTGAACTTACTAGTATCCTCTTAACTTCATTAACAACTAATTACTATGTTATATTTTTTTAAGAGATTATAATATTTATTCCCCACTTATCTTCGACATTGTTCGAACCCTTGATCTGTTGTTCGAACCTTTGATCTGTTGCAAAC